GCTACTGATTTTGCTGCTAATGCCGCTGCTGCTGTCGGACATTTTCGTTGATGTCCTTATATAGAAGAACGATTTCAACTAATATTGATTTCAAATCGAATTTTTTCATTACGTCGTCCAGCACAGTAATGTGGACCTGCATATGTACGGGTGTGCATTTATGTCCGTCTGTGGGATTATACATAAAAACGAATATGCTACGAAGATATATTAAAGTGAAACATACAACAAAACTAAATGGAAAACCTTTATTAGTAGAGGATTTGACCCCAGTGTTGGCTTAGCTGCAAATGATTTCTAAATGAAAAAAATTTCATTAGTTGGCTGAAGTTTGATTTATGCTGCAGTTTCGTCGAGTTTGTGAGAAATATTGAAATGATTGAATGTGATATTAATAATTCTATCCTGCGTTTCTTCCCAATCTCCTTCGGTTTATCCTTTGTTCATTTACATTTTTTCACAGCTATAAGATGAAAAGGTAACATAACATAGTTTTAGGTGGGAACACGAGGTGTGCTCAGAAAGTAACAGAATTTGTTTTAAGATAATGTATTTGTAGTGAGTCAATCTTTAAGTAAATACATGTATTGGAGAAACAAATCCTTTATTGGTGTGTTGTTTCCGAACATGTGGATGAAAAAAAATCGTGCTATTATGGCTGAAGTAACAGTTTAACAGGGTATTTTATAATAACCTATTACCTATTTTTCCAAGTAGATAAAAGCCATATATGACTTAAAATAAATATTGAAAGTCAGGGAACTATGGGTAGTGATTAACAGTAAAAATTCATTTTTTATATGGAAATCAGCCCCAAATCTTCATTGATGAGGGCTATTTGGTTGTCGGAATACCGTGCATTGATTTCTAGGTCATTTGCTGAATGATTGTTCAAAATACAATAAGAACTTAATTTTACGACATTCAATTTTATTTTCAGTGAATTATATTATTTCAGTGAAGATTTGGACTGATATTTGATGAATTCACGCCATCATATATGCTCATATAGTCTCTTAGCGACTCTCCATGCCTTCAATAGTTTCAACTGGTGTGATATAATTGATGCACTCAAACGTAGATTTCGAGTATCAGCGTACCATATGAAATATTACAAAGCTACTTAAAGGACCGACAACTTGTCTACAAGACGTGATGATGAAAAGAAAATTCAAGTAACATCAGGAGCCGCCCAAGGATGCATACTTGGACTTGATCATTGGAATCTAAATTATAACGGAATTCTAGAAATGGAAATAGCAGATAAATCACACTTAGTGGCTTTAGCTGACGGTTTAGCCGCAGTGGTAACTGCACGAAATTTGGATAAAGCACGCCACACATCAAATCAAGTTATGGTAAGTACAAAGATCTGGCTCGTTCATTATGGTCTAAAACTTACAATGAAAAAAAAACAGAGATACATCTGCTCACGAGACGGCATATATCGTTAGAAGTCGAAATGAACAAGAAGAAAATGAAATGAACTCTGCAGAGTCCCGCCCACAGTGCATTATCTTTACCGTGAATTTCGGTGGAAACCAAATTAGAAATGAATGTTCTAAAATAATACCAGTCAGTTAACTTGTTGACTTTTAACATATCGACTAATACGCCACGTTGTTAACAATAGAAGAACCATATGTAATAAAGTATACCGGGGAATAGTTAGAGTTAAGTTCGGTTTTTTCGATTTTAAGATTGTATGTCGAGACCTGATTTATGCTGAAGAAATCGAGAAGGTGGATGACATAAATTCACAATCAGTTTTCTGTGTCGCTTTTAGAAGTTCGCTCACCTCGGTTGTGGAGAGACGACAACATCAATGCGTATGCTTTGCATTGAAGTCACCGCCCATGATGAAGCGATGTTTGTGCATTTCAATTAGCTATTTGCACAATTCTGTTTTAATTTTGTGCCTTAGCGGGCTGTAGACAGAAGTAAGTTGTAATTTAAATTGCAGACCAAGCGAAATGGTTATCATCTGATATTCTTCTCTAGAGATTATTTTGGATACGTAATATCTTAAAGTGATGAAACTCGTAGCTTTTAAGTTTAAGATATGAATGATGTATGAAATGCGTTTCAGTAATCAGGCAGACATCTATTTCTCTGACTGCAAAACATGTTCAAGCTCTCTAAATTGTTTCAGTAGACCATTAGAGTCCCAAAGCATTATTTTAAGTAAACTTGACATTATTAATTAAGTTATCTCATTTTTTTGTTCCAATTTAGTAAGCCTCATATCTAACATTTTATAGTAGCTTTCTTGTAGAGTTAATTTTTCTAATATTTGATTAAGAATTTTGTGATTATCATTAGGCTGGGGGTTGGATCGCATCATTTCAGCGAACGTTGGATTGTTTTTGTTAGGAGGTTTTAAGTTTTTGTTTATCAAATCAAATGGCCCATTTTTATGTGGGTTTTTGGCCAACACTTTATTTCGCTTTATTTTGGAGATTTTCATTCTTCTCTCGAATTATTTTATTTCTTTGGTTTTCGACCTGCTGTGCCACTGCTCTGTAATAGGCCGGATGTTCCTCTCCACAATTGCAACATATAGGTTGTTGATCAAGCTTGTTGTTGATCAGATCAGGCTTTTTGTATTCTACTGTCTTATGGTTGCCGGCACATTTAACACATCGTGCTATTTTGCCACAGTAGTTTTGGGTGTGATCCTTTTCCTGACATGTTTACATTGTGGCATATATCCTGAGCGCTTTATTGATACAATTTTAATTAAGCAATTTCATATAGTTTTAATTTCGTGTATTTTCTTGACATCTTCGGACTTATCAAATGTGAGTATAAATATGTCAAGTGAGTCTTTGACAAGGGTTTCCACTTAGAATATTTAGAATATTAAATCATTATTGTTGCAGATCAGTTAAAATGCCAGATGAGTCACATGTTTTGAGAAGATGACTTTTATCGAACGCAGTTGCTTTTTTTCATTAGAATACAAAGCAATTTTTTTTGCGTAGATAGTGCTTTTGTTACTGATCTATAGTCGTTACCCTCAGACGTACTGATTTTGTACAAAGTACTATTTAAAAGTTTGACAGTAAATTAATATTTTTTTGGTTATAACAAAGAGACCTGGATAGTTTATTCCTTTTGAGACCATAATTGGCGGTGGACGTGATGGTTTTTAATCTACTGAAGCATTTTTAGTAGTAAAAATTGATGCCATTTTTTGTCCTTGAAAGGAGATATGGAGGCAGGTAATTGTTCGGAATTTCTCTTCTTGACGGGTTTTTCTTAAAGATCCAATTCGTTTCTATCGCGAGTTTATATTCATCAGTTCCATATACAATTGGATTGAGCATATTTTCAGATTTTAGGGTAGCAGCCGATTAAGTGACGCATTTTCTTTTTAGGAATTTCTATCTAATTTTTGAGTTGGAGACATAGATTTTTCATATCGCTTATTTTTTCTATGTGTTTAGCAATAGCACTGCCTTCGGTTTTCTCTTTGTATTTCGATAATTTCCCTCCATCATAAGATGGAGGTTGAGACGGATTGATATTGGATTAAGTTTTAATAGAGTTATTAAACTTACAGTACTTAGTATTTCAGAATGATAAGATTATAAAGTATATCTTTAGGGAAATATGATAAATAAAATGCTTTAAATAGCTTTGTGTCAATGCTATAGACGCAGTGACAAGCTTGTGGCGTTTTTGTTGACCACTTGACGCACTGTTATATCTCAGCAAAAATCTTGAAACTCTTTGGGCTAACAACAAGCTGTTATTGTAGCTCCGTAAATTACTTCAGTTGCATTTCAGTTGTCAGCGGTTCTCCAGGAACTCCTCCAGCAAATGAGACACGATACAACAATATTGACTTTGAAATAATCATGAAATTTATTTGTTAAGTTCGGACATACTGCACTTTTGTGTTTCAACTTCAAGGGTTGCCAACTTTCATATAAATGAGCTCATTGTCAATATATTAGCTCATTTAAGGCATATAATGTCGAATGCAATCATTAAAGATAAATTTCTCAAAAAGAAAATTAACAAAATTTGGAATACATGTCTTATGTTTTATATGTAAAATGTAAATAAACAACAGCTGAGCTGTAAACAAAAGCACTGAGGAAGAATATAGAATTGATGTATAAATGCATTTAAATGATTTAATATATCAATTAAGTATTTAATTTTTTAGTGTGATATATTATTAAGTGAAGTTTATAAAAGTTCTATTAGCTGCTTAAATGAGCTCATTATAATGTGAAAGTTCACTCATTAATATAAATGAGCACGTGACTAAATGAGACAGTGTGAATGCATTATTAATTTGTAATGGGTGTATTGTTCTATTGTAAGTTTCTTCATATTGATAGATGTCTTATTGTGGAATAAGACAATTGCAGTCACTGGAAACAGTATTGCCAACTCAAAAATCAGACCATTAAATATTGTTTTCGTTATAATGGCACATTATTATGATAATCCAATAATATGTTGCCACAATAAATTAATTAATTAAATTGTGATATTTTAATTTACAACGAAACTTAAAATAATATTTGTTTTGAATTTTAAATATTTTTAAATCATTTTACTGCTTAGAGCGAAATGTGGTGTGATATGTGATGTCATCATTGGCAGTGAAACTTGTTTGAAAAAAGTCATAAATGATAAAAATATAATAACTTTAAATTACTTATCCATTCCATAAAGAAACCAACTCTTTTTTTCATATTATGGATTAAGCAAATAATAATTGTTATACGTCTGAGTACATATACCTACACACTACAGTGAATGCTCTCTTAAGCGAACACTCATCGTCAGTCGGTTTTCTTCCTTTAAAGAGAGATTCCATTTAATATAAAATAATAATAAAAAAAAAATTTTTTCCAATAATTGTTTCTGTTTTAAAACTGAAGTCCTTCAGGAGAGTTTTCACTGTACATACCACAAGTACATTTATGAGTATATGAGTGTATATTGTGTCATATTTATATGCATTTTTGTGGACTCACCTGTCTATCGTTTATCCACCAGGTCAAATTTGCTGCTGGCTTTGAGTAGTCCGATGAGCAATTACCATTAATAATATCCCCAAGGCGGTAGCGAGAGTGTATGCCTGTTATGATAGGGCGTTGTGCTGGCATTTCTGTATTCAAACAATACAAAAAAAAACAAAAAATGAGAAAAATTAAAACATATTTATTATAAAAATTTAAAAATTAAAAAGTCTGAGTTAAGTAGCATAATTCGTCGCATCGCTAATAAAACGTGTTCAAGATATTTTTTTAAAACTGCGAAAATTAAATAATCAAGCGAACGTTTCGCACGCTCTTGGTAATCGCCTTTAAACTTTGTTTTTTATATTTATATATATTTATATATTTTTTATATTTTTTGTCTTATTTTATGCAACAAAAAAAATGGGAAAAAATAAAATTTTATTATTTTAGCCTTAACGTACCAACAACTTCCATTTCGGCCGCCACAATGGAGGTGTGAAAAAATGGAGCATCCGCTGATACCTCACATGCAAATTTACCGGAAATTGAGACTGGCACATTGCGTAACAATACATGACTGGCGTTTGACTGAGTTGTCTGCAATGAAATCAAAAAAATTGAAGAGAAAATGTGAATAAACTTTTGGAAAAAACTGATTTATATATTTAAAAACCGTAGGAAACACTGCAGCCAGCCCTCATGAAAACTTGAATATTCAATATTTTATTGTTTTGTATTGCAAAAATATGAAGAGGAGTTTTTATTTCAATTATTGGAAATATACTTAATATAATAAACAATACAATAGCTCTATAAAACGAATAAAATTTAATCATCAAAGAACGATTGTGTTAAATGACCCCGTTTAAATGACCCAGAGTCATACGATTTACGAATGTGCGGTTATCCATTTTATGGTTGAGAATTTAAATACAAATAAAGCACTTTTTTAAAAGATGCTTTAAATACGTCTTAATTTTAGTATATTTCAGTATAGATCTTGCCATTAGCTGTACAATACAAAATCATAAAAATATGTTTCTGCGAAGTCTTGATATACTACGAAATGTCACTATTTATATTTTGAGCCTTGACAACACTGTTTGTTGTCAGGTGTCAACTGACTTTTCCATGCGAAAGTTCGATGAAAGTTCGACACAACATACCTGGCCTACCTTAGACTCTTTGTCAAAACAGCGTTATTTGTGTCATTTACGATGATTTGTAAATTTATTGTAAGCGATGATTTATTACGGCTTTTTACGAGTATCAAGACAAGAGTGCATTGATCAATATACTTCCACATTTGACAATGTGAAAAAAGCTCCATACTTTGCAATGTGAAACGCTGGCACAAAGATTTTAATCGTGGTGGCAGTGCGCTCACTGACGAAACTCGTTAAGGTCGTCCAAAAACAGTTGTTGTGCCAGAAGACATAGTTAGATGCTTTGCAAAAACTGATAATGCAAGATCGTCATGAGACATTCTGTGAGATTGAGAGAACCCTAGGCATTAGTTCCACCAGCATATACTCGTATAAAATATTGCACAAGCATTTAGAGAAAGGTTTCTCCTCATTGTTTCAGTGGATCCCCTAACAATCGACAAAATCTCAAACAAATGCTCGTGTCGATTGGTGCACTGTGCACACAAATGCTCAAGAAGAACAAGGTTGGCGCTTCAAAAAACGAATCATGGATATGTGCATATGAGCTGGAACGTAAACAGCCTCCGAGTGTGATGCTGCATGGGTGTTTTAAGATGAACCAAATCCAGCAAAAGTTGTTCGCGTTCGAAACAAATGGTCGCTTGTTTCTTCTGATCGCGAAAAAGCCGATCATGTGGCAACTATACGAATACCATTACAGGAACGTAAAACGGTTAATTCCGAATGGTGTACTACAACCAACCGGAAGTCTTCAGTGAAATACAAAAAACAAATAAGCGCCGCCGGATTATTCTCCATCTCCATCCAGGCAATGCCAGTGTTGAAATATATCGTCTAACAACCAAGATTCGACTATTTGAATATACTAAAAATCCAGTTGATGGATCATCCGCCGTACAGTCCTGGTTTCGACTCCAATAACTTCTGTTTATTTTCGAACATCAAGAAAAAATTGTATTTATAACGATTTTTGTCAGTGAAAGCAACAACAAAGCTTTTGTTGCATGCAAAAACCATATTTTGAAGGTGTCTGAAGAAGATTGGAAAAAATGCTTTGACAAATGGTTTGAATGCATGCAAAAGTATATAAATAAGGAAGGAGAATATTTCAAAATATAAACAAACAAAATATAAATAGTGACCATTGTATATTTCTTTTAAGACACTTTTCGATATCTTATTGGCGTACAGTTCGGGTCCACAATTTTCAAAGCGTGGGGAGTTTGAGGTTTGGAAGCGATTCGGACTTGGTGTTGAAAGACCGGCTTGGCCAGGTGAAAGCCACGATTTTTGTCTATTTTTCGTCAACAGTCAGGATTCAACACAAAAATGATTTTCCTTTATTACGTTGAAGGAACATTTCACAAATGACTTCACGATTTTTTATTTAACGTTCATTAAAACCCATTTTCATTGAATGGGTTTTAGACTCATTTACCCAGTTTACTAATTTACCGCATTGTTCGTATATTTTCAAATTTAGAACTTAAGCGAATAATGAATATGGGTTTGATCGACTTAGATCTACATACACTTCGCATATAAACCGACCGATAGGACCGATATGTGTTTCTTAGAAGAACATTTTCATTTTTCAATGTATTCACTTCTTATTTTGAATATACTTTACCTAGATGTTTGCTATAGAAGAGAATATTTGTGGTAAATGAAATATCAATTGATTAAAGTTTGGATATAGTTGTCTTACAAAATGATATTTCAGATTCATTCTTTACTATCATTATTCTTTATTATGTCAGTATATGTATGTGATATATATTTTTATATGAGTATAAATATAAAGATCATGTTTGAAGAGTATAAGTGTAAGTATAAGTACTTGCAGTTTTATGTATGTTAGAAATTCAGAGTGAGTATAAGTGGATTGCCGGCAACACTAGAGTATGACTCGAGTTTTAATATGAGTACTCATTGCAGTTTGCTGGTACTAATATTCACAGCAATATTAGTTAACAAAATAAAACCACGAAGGTAATCGACGTGTTTAACCAGATAACTGACATTCCACTTATCACGGTTTCCGAACATAGGAATATTTAAGGGATTGAAAACGCAGACGTTTTGCTCCGCCTTTTTGCTTTTCTAAATATGCACCAGCAAAACAGGTTAATATATCCCTGGCAGTCGTTAAGAGAAGTATTAACCTCGATTTTCTTCAGCTTGTCAGTAATTAATTAGGAAGACAGAATATATAACTTCTCGGTTAACATGTGCCGAACACAATAAGACTAGGTGTTTGGAAATCATTAAAAGGGACTGCGTGAATGCTGCAAGGCTTATTGCAGTTTTCTCTGACAATCAAATGGCAGACTCCTTATTTCATATGTCCAGAGCCCTTCTGCGTGATGACAAATAGCTTACTATGTGAACAGAAAAAACAACATCTACTTGAAGACTGGAGAGCCCAAACAGGCATGCGGTAGTCAAGAAGATTCATTGTTCCTGAACACATCAAAGTTGACGCTATCCTTGGCCTTAACAGAAACGATATTAAAATCAACACTGAACTTCTTACAGGGCACTGTATACTTAATTACCAAATGAAGATGTGGTAGAAAGTAACTTCTTTCGACTTTGTCATGGGGAGATGGAAACATAATAACATGTTCTATGCAACTGCCCAGCGGTGGCAAGACGTAGACTCGATTACCTTGGAAGCGGGATCTTAGTCCCAAATCAAATAGGTAAAATTAAGCCCACAGCAATTACAAGATTTATAAATAGTTTAAAATTGTCCTAGTTGGGCCTTTAGGCGCACAATAGATGTTTTAGGTCGGAGTGCTTTAATAGTCCATTACTTATATATCGCTAATTGAGGTCAATAGATCTTATCAATTCGACCTCAATGTAGATTCATTGTTAAAGTTATTTAAAATCAAACTTTATATCTATACTATTTGATTTCTATTAGTAACAAATAATTTTAACAGTAGTTAAGTGTTTTATATGGGTACATGGAATTGGTGTTTAGACCATATATGCTCAAAAATTCTCATAAAACCACTGCCATCTCATTCAATTCACCGAATCATTCCATACATCAATGCTAAAATACTCTGTCAAACCTATATGTGGAAAAAAATAACTTGACCTGTTTCTTCAGTACTATATTGGGCTTGGTATTATTAATTCAATTTATATTGAGAACTTAATATGCTGATCAATTGGTTGTAGTGAAAAAGTACACAAAAGTATGAAACTCTTAAAAATTGAATAAAATTTTATATATGCAAATAAATAATTATTGGTGTCAGAAAAAAGCAAATAAATGAGATGAACTCTATATGGAGATTCTTCATTTCATTTCCTCATTGCTTTGTGGGTCTGACACGCAAGCCCAAGCCATTGAAGAATTCATTTTGCTTTCGTACGCTCCACACACACCAACTGTGCTCGTGCATGACACCATTTGCATTTTCGTGAAAATTTATTTATATTCACACACAAACACACACACACACACACATACACACGTTTGGTTTACTATATTGAAGAAGCTCGCACTGCTATGCCTCCTGCACTTACGCTTTTATACAGTCGATGCCGCCACAACTTTTTATTTGCATACATGAACTTTGCATGCATGCGTAAGCTCAACATAAAAATTGTATGCATTTGTGTCAATGTGTTTATTTGTCTGCTTTTGTTTTTGTTGTTCTTGTTGTTTTTGTTGTTTTGTTTTGTTTTGTATTCATACGTAGGTAGATGAGCCTAGACGTGCATGTGTTTGTTATAGTATTTTTATTTATTTGTTTTAAATTTATTCTTGTGCGGTTTGAATGCATTGAAAGCAGTTTGGGAACTGTAAACCAACCACACACTCACACACACACACTCACACACTTGCATACACTCTCTCGCATTCATAAGAGTTTTTGTGTTAGTATTTTTCTTCTTATATTTGCAAAGCGTAATTACTTGCCCTCAAAGTTGTGTAAATTTGCAAAAATATAAATAAATAAACAAAATGAATAATAATAAAAAATACAAAACCAAAAGCAAAATCAAAAAGAAAAAGAAAAATATACAGAAATCACAAAAACAAATGAAAAAATATAAATTTCTGTATTAATATATAAAGAATTGTAATGATTTTACCCATGAGTGCGTTTATACGCTTTTAGGTGTAATTTGCTTTAAGTGCGTGTAAGCGTATTTATTTATGCCCATAATGTTGTGTTGTATTATATGTGTGTGTGAATGTGAGCATGTTTGTCTTTCGCTATTGGTATTGGTATGCATTGACGTTTGTAATGGTATTTTAATGAGTTTAAATTTAAATTTATTGTTTGCGCATAGGTGCTTGATGGCTGGGTTTGTACGCAGCCCTCGTACTTCGGTGAACTTCAAGTTAAACGATTTTGCTGGCTTAAGCTTAAGCCACAAAAAGTAATTTAAAGGCACATA